CTTTCTGACATCAGCTTGAACGAGGAGCATTCCAGCCACCGTGGAAAGGATGCTGAAAGGATTCATGAGTTGAAGTCCAGGCACTCTGACTTAAGTGGGTCATGCTCAAGTGTTTCAGCTTGGCTCAGATTTTGCAACAACCAAAAAGCTGCTGTCAGCAGGTTCTTGGATGGAGACTACAATTGCAGCCTCTTTGCAAGACCATCTCTTCTTTGTGATGAGACAGGAGGGAAACAGATGATGATTAATTCAGTGGTGTTCAGTTTTTGGCAAGGAAAAATCAGCAACAATTGTGCAGTAGGCTGATCCAGTAAACACCTGGAACCCAGTGCCAGGCAAACTGCTGACGGACATTGATGGCTTGTACTTGATCAATGATGGCTACCAGACAATTGCAGCTTTAAAGGAAATTGAGCAGGCCGTCACCTCTGGCATGTTGGAGGATTGGTGCAGAACATTTCAACAGTTTTGGAAAAGGGTGTGGAAATGGATGTGAAGAGCTACCCCCCCAGTCTATTCTAGGGATGTGCATGTGGCCTGGATGACACTGCTTCATGACTCTGACCAAAACAAATATCGGCCAACCTCCATCTACCAGAAGATTTCAGTGATAGAGCGCTATGTGAAGAAGGCACCAGGTGGTGACCTCAAGCACGCCCCTTGTTACTAATTTTTATGTTCTGAATTTTGCTAATGACACTTTGTTTGTTTTGACTGACTGGCTTTGGCCTTTTGAAGGCAATTGTTGATGGATCTGCAGGTTTGCACTGAGCTGCTGGCAATTTATGGCACCTCGAAGCGGGCCACTGTGACACGATGGATTCGGTGCTACTCCAACCTGGCACAACCAGTGAAGGACCTGCTCCGTGAGCTTCGGTCATTGCCTGACAGTTATGTGTTTGACAACCCCTACTTGCTGGGGCCAGGTAGCCAGACTCGCAGTCATCGAACAGTTCTATCAAATACACTTGAGACTTAATGTATGGAAATTCAGGTTGTTGAACCACACTTGCTTGCTTTTGATTTATTGCTTTTGTGAGAATTATATTATGTAGTTGTTTTATACTTACACTGACACTATTCTTATAGTATATAGTCAGATCACTCCTCTGTCTGAGGGCCAACGAAGATGCGTACAGAGGATGCTGTCAAAGCATTGGTGTTGGTGGCCAGGGCCAGAGAAGACTCACGAGGTATGACGGAAGAGTCCTTCAAGAGCCAGCCCTTTGTTAGCGAAGGCGGCTTGGGTGAAGTCGATGCGATCAATGTTCGGGAAAGCAATTGATACACCAGCCACTTGGCCATGAAGTTTTCAGATTTCTAGGTAAGGGATTAGATTGAAATTACTTGGACATTGACTGTGAGATGGGTTCAGGCTGTGAGTTTGTCCTGGCCTTGTTTGCCCAGGCATTTGCCAGGGTGCAGATGATGTTGGAGACCCGCAGTGGCCTCTCCCAGATCATCAGTTGCATGGGTGGCAATGTGCCTTTACATGGCATCTCAGATGAGAACGAAGGTATCCGAGAATGCAGGTGCTTGTTTTTTGGAGTTCCAAAAACATAAGCATGGAAACAAGAAGGAAACGCCTTCAGCCACCTCAGCTGAAGTACCAGATGGAACCATGGCAGTAGCAGCAGATGAGGAGTGGTGGGAACAGTTGAACATGTTTTTGAGACAGATTGTGGTGGGAACAGTTGAACATGTTTTTGAGACAGATTGAAGCTAAATCTGTTTAGGGGCAGATCCTTCTGGATTCATGAAATTTGCTGAGTTTGTCAGGATCTCACTGAAGGTGGGGCAGCAGCAGAAGCATCAGTGGAGATTCTGGCTGAGGCAGAGGTAGACCCACTTCAGAAGGAAGCCCGGGAGTATGCGTCCAAGATGTCTGACCACATCCACCGCTTCAAATCTGTGAAAGATTTGGGAGACAAATTGTTCCTTGGTGTTTTGAAAAGTGCAGAGCTATGTGTTCATCCCTTTCCTTTGGTTATTGTTAAGCGCAAGCTTTGGTGCAGGTTGATGAAGTTAAATTGATGTTTTGGACTTGCCTGCTGCTGAGGCCCCAGTATCTCCTTCCTTCGACCCGTGTGGTCTTTCTCTTGGATTCACCCACATCCAGGATAAAGGTGGTGGCAGAGCACATAGACAGTGTCCAGGATGTCATCACCAATTCCAAGCTTGAGAAATTCTCCATTGCTGTGATGTGTGGCGGAAGGTTGGACTACATGAGTTCGGTTCAAGCAAAGCTGGATCATTGCTTTCCCAACAGCCAGAGCTTTATCACATTGATCACAGGCCCAGAGTTTATGGAAAATCTGTTTGCTTTCCCAACAGCCAGGGTCACAGTTGACCCAGAGTTTATGACCCAATTTAAATTCAATGTCCAACTGGTTCTTTATGTGTTTTCTCAGAAACTCAACTTGCCTTCAGCCAAAGCTACATTACATTAATCACACACACAGAGTAATTATGACCCTATTAAAATTAATGATTGCAATTTCCAACTCTAGGTGGAGGTGAGAGCCAGACAGCAAAGAGGAAGTCCAAGTTTGCGGTGGTTCTTCACCACGGTGGCGCCCCCCAAAGACCAACCAACAGTTCCAACCATGGTGCCTGCTCTCAAAGGCAAAGCTCGAGCCTTCGAAGGTTTGCGCCAACGATGCTTGAGCTTGACTTGTTCTTTGAGATCTTCAGAGGACAAGCAGAAAGCTGAGGCACTGAGAGCCTCAGCTATGGCAGGATGTGTGGCAGATGAGGCTCGGATCCCGAGATCGGAAATCAATGTTGACGACGATGAGATCATGCCAGACGATGATGAGGCCATGGAGGAGGTTGAAGATGAGGCAATTGACATGGACATCGACATGTTTGATGGGAAAAGAGATTACATTGTTGACCTTTTCACCTTCTCGAGGGGGCTGGCATTCTATGAGCCAATTTTGGTCCAGCTTCTCAGCGCATCAACCGCACATGTGTGTGCAGTGATTACTTCAACAGCGCACCCCTCTGCCAGTGTCATGGCAAGACGGCTTGGCTTGGAGGTCTTTGTAGCTCTCCCAGCAAGCACAGATCACTCAATCTCCCATGGTGTCCAGATTCAGGAGTCTATTTTCAAGCACCTCTTCCTCCAGCAGAAAGGATTGAGCTCCTTGAAACATTTGAGTGGGCAATGCTGCTTTTAATAAAAATTTAAACATGCTTTACATGCTGCTATTTTTGTGTGCTTGGCAACTACCCGGTGAGGAACTAGTGGCAAAAGAGTTGCAGTGGCTTCCAGTTTGCAGTTCATTGAAGGGCCTGCGCTCACAGAGGCCCAGCAGATTTTGGACATCAACGACGTCCATGTCGATGCCGATGACATGTTTGGTGGCCTTGATGTCAACCATGCCAGCCTGGATGTCAAGATCCCCCCAGCTCCTGACCCGAGAGTTGGCCAACAACAACTTGGGTTTTTTGGCGATGTCAGGCCCTGGGATGGGTCGTGGCCTTGTCACCCACCGGCCTCTAGCAGAGGCACGATTCATTCCAAAATGCTTACCTGTATCTATCATATTTGTCCTCTATCTATTCAATGTTTCCTATGCCAGACCGTATGCTTACCTCTATTAAATCTTTGACCCTTCAGGGTGAGAGAATTTGCTTTGCAACTTGTGCCAAGTTCACTTCTGCTGAGCGCCTCATGGCCTGGTTGAAGTTGCCTGGACATGCTGACCTGGCAAATGGTTTGCTGCTGGTCAAGAATGTCCGCTGCAATGAGCAAATAGGGAACATCTATTGCTGCCTGCTTGGTGCAGCAAGATATTGTCAGCACTTCCAAGGCCTGGTGGTACTCCCCCCAAGTTGTTTAAAACACACCAACCATTACCATCTCAAAATGTCAATTATTTATGCCATGCACAGGCATTCGCAAGACAGCCAATTGCGCATGGACCTGTGACCCAGTTGCGGGATCTTCAAGCAAGATGATCAGTTTGGTGGTGCGGACCCACAATGGGCAAGGTGTGGCCAAGGGAAGTGCCTTATGCTGCAACTATGGGCTGTCATATGACTTGACAGCACCTGGCTTGGAGGATGGTGACTCTTCCAGAGGGAAAAGGTTTCGTGGAGCGCTGGATGCTGTGTTCAATCACACCCAGGACCAGGAGGAAGCCAAACCTTCAACTTCAGGGCCTCCTCCGACTCCAGATCCCAAAACTCCGAAGCCCAAGCCTTCACCGCCGCAACTGCTTCCGCCTCCAAGTTCAACCCCCAAGCCAGTGCCTGCCGAAACTGCACCAACTCCGACTCCAGTGGCTGTTGTTGAGACTCCTGTAAAGACAGACCCCCCCCCCAAGCTGAATCCAACCCATGTTGCTGAGAAGCCACCTGCTGCAGAGCCAGAATCTTCACAGGAGAGGTTGATTAGGTGAAAAGGATGCTCCATGTCAATGTTCAGATTGCTTGTTTTTTTAAGGTTGATTGAATTGACTGATGATTTGACTGGATGTGGGGCCCTGGCAGGAGTTGAACAGTGGCATCACTGACTTCGGCTTCAAGCTTGTGCTGCAGGGCAGCCCCTCTGATTTGAAGCTTGCCCTTCTCAGTGAGTCTGATGCGAATCACAAATTGCCGCCCAGAACACCTCTCCTGCTGGTTCGAGATGCACGGCTTGTGGAGCACGAAGGGGAGACAAAGCCAGAGATCGGCTTCACTTTCAAGAATGGAAAGGCCTGTCTGTCAAAGGGTGAGTTGAAACACACAGTGCCTTGCAGTTTGAAATCTCAAGTTGAACAGCCATTTTGCAACAGGACATGGTCTTCTTCACAGAGAACGGCAAGCAAACATTGTGGAAGCTGTCGGAGCTGATTGAGTACCGGCGCATCAAGAGCATTACTAGACATGGATCTTTCCCAGAGGGCACTTGCCCCTCAGTTTTGACACCTCAAGGACAGGAGCCACCTTCATTCATAGAGTGCACTGATTTCAATCCCAGTTCCTTTTCTTCATTTGGAACTGCTTTGCCAGGAAAGGTGATGGGCTTTATGTCCAAGAGCCAGGCAAGCTCAGTGCACGTCGCACTGGCCATTGCAAGCTCTCATTTGCAAGTGCTTTGGGTTCTGAAGAAATCTGAGCAGCAGAGTTTTTAACTTTTGTGATGTCGTCTACTTTCTCTCGCCTTGTGCCTTGTGGTTTTGTTTCTTGTGTCAACCCAATTCAGTTACGAAGAATTCTTCCTGCAGGAGCTCCAGCCTTTTGGTCTCATGATCACCAATGCCAAGCAGATAAATGTTAAGCCTGGCTGTTTCGTATTCTGAGAAGTGGCAGTATCAGGAGAGATCAGCAACAAGATGGCAATTAGAGTTACACAGGATTTGACTGCTTGCCAGGATTTGCCTCTTCGAGCTGCACCACAAGTGACCGGCTGTGGGAATGACTGGTTGGGCAGTCATTTGATTTTTTTGAACCAGATGGACAAATGCAATTGACAATTGGTACTGATTTTGGAAGATTTGTCAATTTGTCTTATGGCAACAAGCAATGTGTTGTCCGACTTTTGGTGAGTCGCCCCAGACATGGAGGAGGCTCAGTTTCGACATGGAGGAAGCTCAATTGTCAATTTCAAAAAAAAACTGCAAGAGCATTTGGCATGGCTAGTTGCAAGAGCTTTGGCTAGTTGCAAGAGCTTTGATTTGTTCAGGGTGAATTTTGCCATGCACTGCAACTTTCTTAGGCCCTTGTGATGGCTTGCTGTGCAGAGGCAGGGATCTAAATTTGCAGGCATTCATTCATTTGATTCATCAGTTTGGCAATTTGGCATGGTTTTGGTCAGTTTCACCCAAGAATCAAGCTAAGGAAACCATTGGCAGGGCCATGGAAAATAATCAGCATCAAATGTTTTCATTATGTTTTTTTAAAGCTTCCCATGAAGAGCAACCTTCAAACTTCAAACACTTCAAACACTTCAGCCAGCAGCACCTCAGCATGTAGTGGCCTCCTGACTGTCCGCGATGGACCACAATGGAGATTGCAGGTTTTGATAATAATGGAAACAGCGAGTTGCTGCTGGCGGCCTCAGACAGTGATGAGGACACAGCCTCGTTGGAAGTTCCTTTGGTTGAAGACGCACCATTGGACATGGGAGATGTCCTTGATTTGGCTTCTTCGGATTCAAGTTCAGAATCCCCCCTGGAGTGCCCACCAGGGCAGCATGAGTCAGATGATGGAGCACTTGAAATTGCTGAGCTCAGGAGATATTTTTTGTCAGGGAGTATTGTTTCCAAGACACCTTTGCAATTGTTGCCGTCTGCAGTTAGCAGCAAAATTGAAACGACACACACACTGACACTGGATGCATAGGAGCCATTGCCTTGGCGATGCAGCTGCAGATCAAGACAGCCTGGAAATACCAGCGCCTTCGACGGATCCCCACTCATGGTCTGTAGGGACAAACTGTGGTCCATACATTGGCCGGCTAAGAGAGACATGTGTGCAACCACAAGCCCAGGTCTTGATTTGTAATCTTGTTGCAAGGGCAAAGGCTTTGCCTTTGGATCTCTTGAAAACTGTACTGCAGAGAGTGAACCCTTCACATGCTTCTGAGAAAGCACGCCAGTCCATGGCCATTCGGGTTGCTGGAGGTTTGTTGGCCATGTCGGCAGCCACGGTTGAGTCAGTTTGGACATCGTTGAAGAAGTCTGGGTGGGTACCAGAAACTCAATTGAGTTCAGAATCATGTTTATAGTTTATATTTAATTTGAGTAGGCAAGGATCCATCCAAAACAATCAATCAATGATATGTTATGACACAATAAATTAATTGCTTTTGATTTTGTCACACACACACACATCCTAAGGAAAAACGACATGGTGGTCACCCAGGTCGACAGCCAGGGAGCATTGCAGCTGACCACTGTGGTCAGCCATCCCAGGCAGTGGAGACTCCCAAGGTGTCACCAGAAAAGCTCAGAATGAATTCCTTACAAAATCTTGTTTCATTGGCACTCACTTGTGCGGTGGAAGGGCGGTCAGGCAGAGAATTTGAGCGAGACTGCACACGCTGGTCCTTGGCTAAAGTGAACATGGGATCATCAGACCACAGCCGGCACTTCTTTCGTCAGTGCCTCTATGTCTCTTCACTAGTTCTGTCGCACATGGATTCCTTGGAATGGGATTTGCCTTTGGCTGGAATTGGGACAGCATCAGACTTTTGCCTGGTGCTGGATCCGGTCTCACTAGGGCATGGCTGGGCCGCAAGGCATGGTACAGTCTTGGTGATGAATCTGGTTCTTGTATCATCTATTACCTGCAGGGCATATTCACCTTTTTTTCGCTGGTCCCACAATGCCATTGGGTGGCCATTCTGGCGCCAACATCTCTGCTCAGGCCCTTGAAACACTGAGCCAGCATCCTTCTAACTTCAACGCCAATGCGTTGAAAGCTCGATTGGCGCTGGTTGGATCAGACGGTGGGCTTGCTCAAGGCCAGACCGAAGGATATGTTTTTTTGCTGTGCATTTCCTATTTTTGTTAGACTAACAGTTATTTCATGGTTTTAGATTAAATAATGGCTCAACTTGAGGGCTTGCGAGACAGCATTTTGACAATTCAGCAGGGTTTCTGTGGTCTTTATTTGTATTGCTTTGAGGTGGCCCAGACGCACGCCACTCATCGACAAAAGGTTCTGAGCACATATGGAAAAGCGTCCATGGCGATGCTGCAGCGAACAATTTGACTTGCACTGACTGGGACTCATTTCACCGCTGCGACGTCGCACTTTGGCATGGCATGGGTATGTTTATCTATTTTTCAGAAGTTGTGTGGTCAGTCAGTCAGTCAGAACAGCTGTTGTGTCTCCAGTGTTGGCCACCAGGCATTTTCAAGAACAATCACGAGACATGCTGCTGCCAAAGAGCTGTTTTCCATCGTGAAAGACCTTGACAACTACTTCGGGCACTCTGATGGACAGACCCTATACAGGTCAGTCGGGGTCGAACTTGGCACTGGTCTGACACACCTTGCCCGGGTTGGCGGCACAAGAAAAGCAGGGGCACTGTCGCAACTGGCCACCAAGCTCATCCGCAGCTTCAAACAGGTCTCAGTCAGCTTGACAGCACGAGCCGAGTGGAGAAAGACCAAACATGGTCGGATCAGTTTGGAATCAATTGCAGAGACTTCCCGCCGTGTTCACGACTTGAGCTTCATTGTTTTTTTTGGTAGTTTGCCACTCCATCATGCAGCCCATCCGGCAGCACATCCTCTTCGTGCAGGCGAATGTAGAACCCTGGGCTGTGAAGGAGGCAGATGGAGAGCTCATGTCCTCACTTGATTCCATCCATTTTGCAATTGAGGAAGTGCAGAAGCTGGCCTGTGTTTGCTGCCTTCTGGCCCAACATCTTTCAGTCAAAGAGCGTGGCCGTGCCTTACCTTTTGCTTTTTAAGGAACATGCATAGCTTTTATTTTTTTGAAATATTTCATTTACTTATATTTTTGCATCGGCAATTATTATGTTTGTTCTGCATCAGAATCCAAGGATTTTTGGTTGCAATGTCTTGCTGCAAAAAAAATGGTTCCCTTGGCATTCTTGATGCGGTACCTGCCCAACTTGATGTGTAGCACCCCTCCAGTTTTTTCAAGAAGTGAAGTTGACACAGATGGATTATTCCAAAAGCCGGTGCCTTGGCCCCCCATTGCCAGTGTGGCTTGAACTTTGAGACCAAGGGCACTCAGAAAGTGGAGATCACAATCCATGCAGGGCAGCAGGGTTGCAAGAAGAAACGATGCCGCTCATCTTTATGCCAGAAAAGGCTGTGTGTTCCACACTGGTCTGCCAAGCGTCTTCAAGCAAATGATGTGAGGACAGACTTGCTGGAGAACTGGCCACGGTACCAGGCACTCCCCACAAGAATGCCACCGCCAGGGAGCGGCAAACCAAACACTTTTCGACATCATTTGCAAACCCAGCCAAACTCGAGCTGCTCCACACATCCATTTGCTAGAGTTGGCGGCAGGTGTGTGTGTTCCTGGAGTTCCAGGTGCTTGCTCCCCTCCCAGCTTTACCACGACTTTCAGAAGATGATGCAGGGACTATCTTCTGGGTACGCATTTATCCGCATTTTCAAGGAGGAGATGAATTTGATCCTTGGCCCTGTGGGCGTCAACACTGGCATGTTGGATTTGTCTTCTGCCATGGCGTTGGCTTGGGACTGGAAGCGTCTTGTTGTCACAGAGCCCACTGCAGAACAACAAGGTGCATTTTGGTTTCTCTTTGAGCAATTGTCGCCTTTCTTGAAGTTTTGCTTGTGGCCAGACCCTGGCAAATGTCCAATGAAAAGAACTCATTGGAATCTCGATAAGGATGAAGGCATCAGGCAGTACAAGCTGCTGCTGGCAAGGGTGAGAGCGGTTTACTCTGGCAGCAAGCATACGGCAGTGGCCATTCGAAAGGATGCCAGGGACTGGAGCAAAGTCACTAGTGTTGGGATCAAGCCTGTTCGCACATGGGGCATTCTTCTCTTCACCGGGTTCTCCAGCTCAGTCTTCAGACCAATGGTTTGCTATGCCACATTGTTTGCAGCAAAGTCATGGAATTTATTGGCCTAGCCAATGCTGCTGACTTTCCTGTCTCTCAAGTCCTTTGGAAGGACCTTGGAGATGTGACTGGCCTACAGAGATACTTACCATGATTTTTTTGTACTTTATTTGTCTGTCTAATGTGTTTGTCATTGTCATTACTGGTTCGTCCTCACTGTTTCTGCAAGCCAGGTGAAGGCACTCCTCAAAAGAAAACGTGGAAAGTCCAAGCCTCCTGCTCCAGTGCCACCTCGGTATCGGACTTGGAAGGGGAAAGTTGTTGAGGTGGCGCATGAGATCCGCCATGTGAATGCAGCATTGATAGATGCATCTTTGGACAGGCGCCTTGCAGCTGTAGTTGTGTTTAACAATATGCTCAATCAGTTGAATCCTGTGTTGGGTTCAGGAAAGTGCAGGGTAAAGTCATGTCGTGTTGTTTCTCAGGTACAAGCATTTTGCATGTGGGCCGAGTCCATCGAAAAGAACATCAGCATGGCACGCATTGAGGTTGCACCACAGGTGTCGCTTGCTGAGAGGGTCAGAGGCAAGCTGTGAGCGCATTGGATCATTTTTACAT